AGGGAGTCATATATATGGTGATGGACAAACAAAAATGTACAACCCAAAATTTCACAATGTTAGAAACCATTAAAACATCAATTAAAAAAAAAACAGGTGTTCTTAATCCAGGGTCCACTTATGCTTCAAATTGTGTTTCTTTCTAAGGGGAGAGTCAATAGCTTTCCTTGTCTTCTCAAAGTGGTATACAACACAAAAAAGGTCATTCCTCGTTGGATTAGAAGGTAATGTTTCCCAATCCTTTCAGGTTGCTATGTACATTCTTGAAAAAACCCAGTGAAGTCAAGGGGAAAAAAAGTACCATGCAAGACATTTCAGGTGCTACCTAACCAGAACTAACACAGAATCAATAACAGATAGATGAATGGGTTTCTTCCCCATTTCTAAATAACCAAAAAAAAAGAAGAAATCACTGGACGTTTGAAAATACTTTAAGGTGAATGATCATACTTACATGTGTTTACAAACTCAGATCATATAGAAAAGAAGATACATTTAATGTGTAATCAGTAACACTTTACATCTGTGTAGATCATTAACACTTTCACAATCAATTATTCCTCATTTTTTAGGAACAAAGGGCACATAAGTATCCCCACTTTACAGATGAGAAAACAGTTATGAGGGTCATTGCCCAAGGACAAACATTTCCTAACCCTGCCAGTTTCCTGACTTCTGGACCAAGATTCTTCCCAGTGTTAAGAAGCAGTACAAGCTTCCTTCTTGGGGATTTATACAGTAAACCTAGCAGAAGGAAGTAAAAGCAGACTTTTAGCTCCTTTGTGTTTTCTCTCTGGAATGTTTGTTCTGCTGAATCATTTGGGGCCTGCTGATTATGAGGAAAGACGAGATTTGAAATGGTTATCTGTGGTTACCATCTCATGGTTAATCATTAAAAACGGGCCAATGAAGCCAAAAAAGGGCTTTATAAGCTTAGTATCACCCCTCCACAGTAGGGACTGAAAAGATCATCTATTGGGGCCTGTCCAATAATAAACTGCATCAAGTTCCTGAGAAGCTCATTGTGCTTAAACAAGCAGCAGCGAGAAAAAGAATTCCAAGCAGAAGAAAGCAGATCTCCACACCCCTTTTCCTAGCCATCCACGTGGACACCATCACCTTGTGGGTTCAGGGAGTCACCAAGCGCCAGGAAAAGACCACCCCCACACACAACAGTAAAGCCACCTGATGCTGCCTGAAGCTCTTCTCTGCAAACGTTTTGGTCTGCAGATACTCGTTCCTTAAGAAGGGGAGGCGGGGAAAAGTGTGGAGAGGAGCAACACGAGAGAGGGAAGCCTGAGCAGGAATTACAGAGCCAGAGAGCTGGACAGTGAAATAAATGGACGCGACCTAACTGACAGCACAAGGGAGCCAATCGCTAGCCGAGCGGAAGGCCTCGGAGGTGGGAGGAGCTAAGGCTTGCAGGGCCCAGCAGGCCGCGCCAGACACGCTGGCAGGGCGGGAACCGCGCGTTCCTTAGCAACCGAGGCGGCCACGCCCACCCACCGCCTGAGCCCTGGCCCGCCATCCCCACCCCCACCGCGAGCGCCCTGCTCCCCGGGAAGACGTCCTTAAGTTATTACGCTACCTACTGGGTTTCCTGGGCTCTGGGTTTCCTGGGCTCCGGGTTCCTCCTCTTCCACAGCCTCCCTCCGCCCAGCCCGCCCAAGTGCCGCTCTCAGGGGCGGACCGACCGCCTCCTAAACGCTTTCGGGGGCTCGCTAAGGAGGTGGGCCCGCTTTCAGTCGCGGATCCCTAGCTTCCCGGGCAGGGCCTCCCCAACACCCCCGCCCTCGCCGGACACACACACACACCTCAGCTCAGCCAAGGCAAGGGCCGACAAACTTCGTGTCCGGCTGGCAATGTTGCTGTCCACGGTCCTATCACTCAGAGGCAGGGGCGGGACGAGCCGGCTGCACACCCCAACTCCCAGAGGGCGGGACGGAAGAGAGGCGGGGCTCGACGTAAAGGGGCGTGGCAAGCCCTCAGCCTGCGCTCCGATTGGTCGGTCTGTCTCCCGCCTCTGCGCGGGTCCTAGACCCAAACGCGCGGGCCCTGCGGCCTGCCTTCGTTTCGAGGCGAGTCCCAGGCTCTAATACCTGACTCACAAAGTGACTGTAGAAATTAAAAATCAGGACTTGTTTTATAAATGTAAACCACAAAAATGCGTCATTTTGATTCTTGAACCCTTCCCATTTAAACACATGCACGTACTCCCCATACACACTCTGGGGCGCATCCGTAGGAGCAAGTATGAACTGTCTCTGAAAACAATATTGTTTGCAGATTCAAACTTTCAACAGGAGATTAATCAATTTAGGAAAGATGATTCCTGAAACATGACCAACAACTAAGGTTTGGAGGTATGTCCAGGTGCCAGTCTTCGCATCTACAAAATGGGCAGGAAATATTAAGATTTTAGTTATTATTTGGAAAGCATTTGACAATTGAATGATTTATACCTTATACTAATGTAATCCTCACAACACCCAATGAGATGTTTTTATCCACAGCCTATGCACAATGAAACTGAGGCTCAGAGAGGTTACATTTATTCAATCATTCAACAAATGAAAAAGTGCCTGCAGTCATTATTTTTATTCTGTGATAAATTGAATTTAAAATTCTTGCAAAAAATTATGCGACTTTCCATTTAATTTTTCTCTTGCTCAAGTATAAGTCACTTTCCACTAGGACAGCCGATCAAAGCTTTAAAAAAAAAAAGCCCTTGAGAAAGGAAATAGCATACAAAAGAACTGAAACAAGTATAGACTAACTAGAAGATTCTCTGAAATCTCTCAGGATATCAGGGCCAGAAATTGAATCCAAAGTGTAATTTTATTTTCTGTCCTCCTAAATCATTTGCTGGTCTCCAGTTTCTGTCCTAGAAATAAAGGTAGAGTTAAATGAGATTATCTTAGTACTCAACCAGATTTGTGTGTGTGTGGCTTTAAAATAGTGAAACCCTTTTTCCTTTTATATTAAACCAATACTCGGAAGTGTTTATCTTGTCAGATACAGTAGTAGTAAGAAAAGAAAAGAACACAATACCTTTGGACAAGTGTTTTGAGATTCAATTAAAATGTCCACCATTCTGTGATAAAATTGTTGGAATAAAAGAAACATTCCAAATACAAATGATTTTATTCTCTTGTCTTGCTGAATTTCCAAATTCTTTTGCAAGCTTGCTAACTATGGATACCTCTGTACAAAAATTTCTTGATTTGTATGACTCATGATCCCCATTATGTTTCTTTAATCTTTTAAAAATATTTGGTTTTAGACTAAAAAGAAAGAGCTATGATTGTATATTAATAAGTACATTATATAAATACTGTAAGATTTAAATAAAAGTGGTGAATTATTTATTTGAATCCTTTTTCAATTGCATATTCAAATAAGTACAGCAAATGCATTTGTTTGAATATTCTCACATATGGATTTAAATAAATGTATTGTATGCATGTAAATGTGTAATCACTGAAATAAACACAGCTGTATATTCCCCATATGTATAGCTCCAGATGTTTGAAGCACACATTCAAATTTCTGTAACTCTACACCTTGGTGTCTAGTTAAACATCCAGTAGAAAATATGGTGCTACATACGCATTCTAAAACTATGTCCGCAGTGAGGAAATAAGATTAGAACAGTGAATAATGAGTCTCTGCCACTGAATTTCTTCTCTTGAACATATCCTTATGAGATAGCTTGTCCTGGCAAGTTGTTCTGCAAGCAGTTTACCGATCTATAAAATGGGCACTAGCCATCTTACCCTACATGAATATGACTATTGCAAAGTAGTCTTGCAAGCATCTTTCAAAATAATTAAACTCCAAAAAATAATGTTTCTAGTTAACTTTTAATACTCTCCACTTTTGGAATAGGAGAGTTTCATGTTATCCACGCCTCAATTATTTATTTTTCAACTTACGCTTCTCCTCCAATACTTGGAACATATATAATTTGAAATTTCCCCAAAGTCACAACTGTATATTAGAAGAATTATGACGAACAAACTAATCAAATATGAAATACAGTATACCTTCGGGACATTGAACAAGAAGTAAATGGTTTAATGTAAAATTAAAACATTCAGATGTATGTTATGAATATGCTTATTTCTTTACCATATAATGACAGATATACTATTTATTTAAATTTGTGGTAAGCTGAAATATAAACTAGAATCTAATAATTATATGCTCTAACACCTTTGGTCCAGATGAATATGCGTACACTTTGAAATTTCCGGGAACCAATTTGAATCATTTGCAGAAATCATGATTCTGTCAAAAAAGTATGTGAAATTCATTGATGTATTAAGTGATACAAGATCAACTTACTTAATCTTGTTCAGCAGTACTTTGCCTTAAATTTTAAAAGCTGAATTATCCCATTTAGCTCTTTTAGTAGCTGGAATTGGTTCTCTAATAGGTCAAATCCACGTACTACTATTTCTATGCAGTTGTCCTAGAACAACATCAAGAGGGTGTTTAGGGTGAATTTTGTTTAAAACATTTAAAGAAATTATTTTTCATGTGAATTCCTTTAAGAAATCCCTGTGATCCTCAAATTCTGTGCTTGAAAGTCTTAGTTTTTGACCTATGGTACTATATTTAAACCACTTAATAAAACCTGAAAAATAAGTATGCTTTTCTTAAAGAAAAACTTCCTTTACAAAACTCAGAAAATTAATAAATCTTAAAAAATATTTTTCATTGATTTGTATAACGTTTGAAATTACAGTTATATAGCACATATATAGAATGAACTCCATGAAAGGAACTGACCTATGTTATTAAATATATATTTCAATGTTTGTTTGCTTTTTGAATAATTGAATGCAAGATTGTCTCTGAAATCTAGAAAAAAAATCTCAAAATATTCTTCAGATGATATCAAAACATACATAGAAGAATTATTTCATGTACATGGAATAAAGATGGGTCACATAATACAAATATTTTGAGGATATAATTTCAAATGTATAGCTGCCGCCTATTTCTCTAACTGGCAAATGACGTGTAGGTAAAAGGTATATCTTGTGGCCAATTGAAAACATTCAGATTTACTTTTTTTTTTCATTTTATTGAAAATTTAGTCCAATATGTCAATGAGTCTAAAACGTTTCTGAAATCAGGATGCAGCTTACAAGTAATTCAATGACAGCATTTTTCACCTTCTTAGGGGTACGTATAACCACAAGGGCCTTTCAGTTGATGGCCTCCTTATCTCCAGGTGGGGACTCAGTGATCCGTGCTGCTTTGCTCTTGTGCCTCTTCCCTCTCAAAACACAGCCTCTACATTCCTCACATCAGAGGACAAGAGCACCTGCAGTATCTCCTAAGAGTTTTCATTGCTGCAAAGCAGAATTGAGGTACAACATCTGGATGTACGCTTGTCACTCATTATTGGTAAGAGTCATCAATATTATATCCATTTAGTATCATGTTGATAAAAGCAATCTTCCTATGTTCCCCTCCCGCTGTGTATTACCACCACCTCCCCGCAGTTTCTCCAGCTCCAGTATTCCAGAGCCTCCTTACCAATGCTTCACTTGTTCTTTTGTTCATAGTCATTCATCACTTTTTAGTGTACTTTATACATAATTTACTTGTTTATTATGTGCATTGTTTATTATCTTTCTCCGCCTCAAGATTGTAAATTGCTTGAGGATAGAGATCCTGTCAATTTTATGAACTGATCTATCCCAATTCCAAGATCAGTGCCTAGCACATAATGGGCACTCAAGAAGTATTTTGTATTAAATTAATTGTTGTGCATAGCTGTGATTGTCTTGTTTAAATTCCTTATAATATTCTAGTGCATGAATATGCCACAATTTATATATCCGGTCTCCTGTTGTAGGGCTTTGGGGCTACTTTCATGTTTGTTCTGTAACAAGCAGTGTGGTTATAAACATTCTTATATGAATTTCCTGCTATAAATTTGCAAGAGTTTCTCTTTGCTTTATAATTAGGAATAGAATAACAGATTTGTAAAGCATGTGCACAATCTAAGTGAAAATATAATACCAAATTGTTTTCCCAAGGTGTTGTACTATTTTGCCCTCCTAAAAGAAGTATTTGTGAGATTCAAATGTATTGATCTTTTCAGAAAACCAAATTTTGGCTTTGTTAACTTTCTCTAATGTTTGTTTTCTATTTCATTGATTTCTGCTCTTATCTTTATTATTTCTTTTTTTCTACTAAATTTTCTTATTTTTCTATTCCTTAAGGTGGGAACTAAGATAATTGTTTAAACTTTTATACTTTAATAATGTAGGCATTTAAAGCTCGAAAATTACTTCTAAGGAGTGCTTTATTGATAGCCCATAAATTTTGAAATGTTGTGTTTTAATTAGCATTCATTTGGAAATATTTGTTGATTTCCCTTTCTGTGAGTTTTTCTCATACCATTGGGTTACTTATTTAGAATTGTGTTGTTCATTTTCCAAGTATTTGGGGGGTTTCTAAATATCTTATTGTTATTGACTTTTAATTTAATTCCATTGTTGTTAGAGAACATACTTGGTAAGATTTCAAACTTTTGAAAATTACTGAGACATTTTATAGCCTAACCTATGGTTTATCTTGATGATTTTTCCCAGTATACTTAAAAAGAATGTACATTTTGCAATTGTTGGATGTAGTGTTCCATAATTCCAGAATTAATAGTATATATTATTAAATTATTGCTAAGATTCATCAATATTTTATCCATTTAATATTACATATTAAGAGTGATCCCCTTATGCTCCTCCTTCACACTACCCCCAATTTTCTCCCCAACTCCAGCATTCCAGAGCTGGAGTTCACAGAGTTTTACATTTCAAACACAATACTTCTCATTTCCCATTCATACACTTCCCAAATGTAAGAACCTGAGAACAGTATAATCCCATTTATCTGCCC